CTCCCTCCCTCCCTCCCTCCCTCCCTCCCCAGTTTGGCAATGAGGTGGCCTATTGCTGTTTATCCAACAAACCCCAACTGAGATTCTGCCTGGTACTGTAGTAAGGCAGGTTTGGGGAATGTTGTGAATGATTGCAAGTTGCAAGCCAACATTCGGCAGGTGGGGCCCAAACTGAGTGGAACAGCCGTGTTTCTCTTTTCTGACTATTTTTTTGCTTATGCCCTCCTTCCCTTTTCCCATTCTTATCTTCCTTCCTTCCTTCCTTTCTCCCTCCCTTCCCTTTTTCCCGTTCTCATATTTCTTTCTTTCTTTCTTTTTTCTTTTTTTCTATGTGTCTTCCTCCCTCCCTTCCTTTCTTCCTTCCCCCATTTTGCCATTTTCTCCTTCCTTCCTTCCCCCTTTCCCATTCTCATCTTTCTTTCTTTCTTTCTTTCTTTCTTTCTGTGTCTTCATTCCCTCCTTCCCCCTTTTTCCCATTTTCTCCTTCCTCCTTCCCTCCCTTCTCCCTTCCTTTCCCTTTTCCCATTCTATCTATCTATCTATCCATCTTTCTTTCCTTCTTTCTTTCTTTCTGTCTGTCTTCCTTCCTTCCCCCTTTTTCCCATTCTCTCCTTCCTTCCTCCCTTCCTCCCTCCCTCCCTTCTCTTTTTCCCATTCTCATATTTATTTATTTCTGTTGGGCTGTCTGTTTTCCTTCCTTCCTTCCTTCCCCCATTTTCCCGTTTTCTCCTCCCTCCCTCCCTTCCTTCCCCCTTTCTCGTTCTCATCTTTCTTTCTTTCTTCCTTTCTTTCTTTGTCTTCATTCCTTCCCCTTTTCCCATTCTCATCTATCTATCTATCTATCTATCTATCTATCTATCTATCTATCTATCTATCTATCTATCTATCTATCTATCCATCCATCTTCCTTCCTTCCCCCTTTTTCCCATTCTCTCCTTTTTTACTTCCTTCCTCCCTCCCTCCTCCCTTCCTTCATTCCCCTTTCCCATTCTCTTCTTTCTTTCTTTCTTTCTTTCTTTCTTTCTTTCTTTCTTTCTTTCTTTCTTTCTTTTCTTTTTCTGTCTGTCTGTCTCCCCTTCCACTTTTCCCGTTCTCATCTCCCTTCCTTCCTTCCTCCTCCCCCTTCTTTTCTCTCTACTTCTTTCCTTCCTTCGTTCTTCCATTCATTCTTGCATCCTTACTTCATCTCTCCCATCTCTTTCTCTTCCTTTCTCCCACTCTTTCCCTTTTCCCCCCTTTCTCCTTTCTGCTCCTTCCAGCCACCTGCTGAGAGGAGGGGAAAACCTCCCTGGATCGACGCATCTCTTCACTTGAGAACGACATATAACGCTCAGCTGGGTGTTCCCCATCCCAGCTCGAGATAAAGAGTTGTTTCGTTCAGCACTCCCACGCGCTTTCATACTGTGGGATGTAAAATGGGGAGAAAACAGGGCAGAAGTCTCTGCTTTGCATCCAGAAGGATCCCAAAACTGAGCTCCTGGCGCTGCCTCCCTTTTAACCCCCTGCTCTGTCCTTCTCCTTTGCTTCATTTCTTCTCTTCCCGCCCA